GGTGTATGTGCCCCTTCCTCCTGCCCTCAGTTGGGTGTGCTTAAAAATGAGCTGGGGAGGCTCGTGTTGGCTTCGGCACTGCCTTCCTGGGAGATGTCTGAAGGCCCTGGTGCGTATCCCCGTCTGTACAGTCTCATAGCCCTGGTGCGTTTTCTGGTCTCCTTTTTCAGGTCATGCGTTTGTATCTCGCATATGACCTGAGATTGACAGCAGCAGCTTGGTGCTCTCCTGGTGCACCTTTTGGGGCTCTGGCTAATTGGATAACTACTCTATGATGTTCCCTAGCAGCATGGGTTGACAGATGCATTGCATCCAATTATAGCAATTGGTGGCGGGTCCCCGCATGTTAGAGGCCATCCGGGCTGGAAGGGGTGGCGGTCAACCGCACCAGGTTTGCTTCCGCCAGCTCGGAGCTTCAGCCAGTGTTGGCCTAGGCCCTAGTGCCTCAGGTACTCACTGAGGGGGCCTTGATGTTGCATCTGGTCAACTGCAGATCAACATCCTTCGCTTTTAAGGTTTTCCCTGCGGGTGAGGGGCGGTGGCCCATTTCTATCTTCTCCATGGCTGGGTCAGCACTTCAGCCGGTGTGGACACGGCCCTGGTTTTCCAGATGCTGTCCTCCTGGGCATTGGTCCTGCGCTAAGGCTTGACTACTAGTCAGGTTCCCCAAGTGTATGGAGAACTATGGGAGCATATGGTCCCAGGGATTGATGCACTTTTGTGACGTGTCCCTGATGCAGTTCCTCACCTCTCCAATTTTTCTGTTGCGGCTGTGGTGTTTTGGCAGGGTCCCTTGGCTGGAGCGATGGTCGGTTGCCCAGACTTCCAATCGGGCTGGCCACCTGTTTTGGGTTACACAGGACAATGTTCTCGGAATCTTATGGGTGGCAAGAGTTCCTTCCTCTCTCGGGCCAAGGCAGGACAGGGATCGCATCCAATGTCCGGGTCCGCCTTCCTGGCACATAAATGGATTTTTCACCCCCCTGGATCCCTAGATTAGTGCTCCAAACCCTTCAAAACTCCCACAAATGGTGCAAAGTGTTCCTGGCCCAGAAAGCCCTCCAAGTCTGAGTCTTTGTGGGCATGCAGGTTTGCCTTCTCCTATTTCCGGGGTGAGGGCTCACCTCCGGTTTCAGCCCGTGGACCACCCTCTTCCCTGGCAAGTATGTTCTCGGAGTCGTTCCCTCTGGTTGGGAGCTAGTATTCTTCTTGTTCCTGCTGGACAGAATTTTTTTTCCCAAGGACAAGGTTTTCTGTTTCAAAGTTCTCAAGGTTTTGCATGTCTGCCTGAGGGTTTCAGAGTTCCACATGGCCTCCGTTAGCTCAGCTATGGTCTCTTTCCACTGGGAGATTGTCTCTGTTTGGCTGCCATAGATTTATAGGTCACTTCCCTGCATATTCCCTTCTACAGGGGACAGCAGTCTTTCCTATGTTTTGCTCAGGGTAGCTCTTCCTTTTAGCCTGGCCTCTGTCCTCAGGTGCTTACCAAGGTGTCTTGGTCCCAATCCTTGCCTTGCTGAGACAATGAGGGATTGCGACAGTCGGTTACCTGGACGACTGGCCTGTACATGTAGAAACTCATTCGTCCCTGATGGACAGTATGAAGATCTACAAGCATTTTCCTACAGGACTTTGCTGAAATTGCTGGGTTCAGATCTGTGTTGACCTCACCCAAGCGCTGGGAATATTTGGGACTGATGCTTGATTCATAGCAGGTGGAGGTGTTCCTCTCCTCAGACACACTCCAGAAGCTCTGGTCAGTGACCTGGCAGCTCTTGCCTTACAATTGTCCCTCTCTGAGTTTTTTGCATGTAGGCTTTAGGTCTGATAGTGGCTATCTTCGAGTGGTTCCATATGCCCAGTTCTATATGGGAGTTACAGAAAGAACTCCTATCCACATAGAACAGGTCTGTCACTTCCTCAGACAATTTGGATTGCTCTGGAGAGGTCAACAAGCACCGCTTTCTACTGTTGGTTGCAGTCTCCATCTCTATGGGCTGGGAAGTCCTTTGTTCTTATTGCTGGACAGTAGTTGAGACAGAGGATAGTCTCTGGGCTTGAGGTTGGCTCAAGGTCCTCTGGACCCTGGAGGAAGCTTGAGTACTGATTGATGTTCTGGGGCTTTGAGAGTTTAGGTTGGCCCTGGCCTACTGGCTGAATTTTCTCAGGGATGCTCTAATCGGCTAACTCCACTGCAGTGGCTTCTCCCAATCATCATGGTGGTACAGGAAATACAGCAGCGGTGCTGGAGGTGTGTCTCGTCCCATAGGTTCAGAACGATGTCCAACTTTGTTCTCTGTACATGTTCTAGGTGTAGAATGCCAGCAGGCAGATTATCTCAGGTGTCTACGCTGGTTCAGAGGGAGTGGTCCCTGCATCAGAAGGTGTTCCATCAGCTCTGTCTTCACTGGGGAGTGCTGGATCTGGATCTTCTGGCATCCCACCTCAAATGGAAAGTTCTGAGATTTGTGGCGAGAAAGTTGCATCCTCTAGCGAACACGACAGATTAGCTGGTAGTGGCATAAGGTCAGTTCCATCTCATCTATACTTTTCCGCCTCTCAGGCTGATTCCTCATCTGCGGCACAGGATTGAATCCTGGTCATTCTGATGGCCCTGAACTAGTTTTGCCGCTCGTGGTACACCAATCTGGTATGGTTGGTGGCAGATGCTCCCTAGCGTCTCCCTCTTTGGAACTTCCATCTGTCTTAGGGTCCAGTCTTTCAGCCAGCATTCCCTTCGCTGGCTTTATTAGCTTGGCCGTTGAGAGCCAGGTTCTGAAGGACAGGGGGTTGTCTTGTGCGGTGATTCCAACTATGTTTAAAGGCTTGTGAGTCCTCCCTCCTGGATGATTATCATCGCACCTGCATAGTCTATCTTGTTCGGCACGCCGCTTTGGGGTTCCATCCCCGTTCCCTCTCAGTGGCTCGGGTGTTGGCCTTCCTCCAATGTGGCGTTGATCAGAAGATTACTTAGAGAACCTTTGAGGGTTAGGTCTCTGCTCTGGCTGTTTTCTTTCAACGGCACTTGGCCACATATTCTTGGTCTGCACCTTTTATTCAGGGGGTTCATCACTTGGGTTCCCTTTGCCTTCTCTGTTACTGCCGTGGTACTTGGTATTGTTGGTTCTTTGGAAGCCTCCTTTTTAGAGCATTTGGGATATTGCCTTGCTTACTATCTCAGAAAGTTGCCCCCCTAGTCGCTATTACTTCTGCTCGGCAGGTGTCTGTGTTGACAACTTTTGTCCTGTTAGCCTCCTTATTGTATTTTGCATAAGGAACAGGTGGTGCCTGGGCTGTCCCCTTTTCTGCCAAAGGTGGTGTCGGATATTCAATTGACTAGGGACATTGTCCTTTATTGTGTTCTCGGCTGTCGCACTCTGAGGAGGTGACGCTGCACCCCCTGGAGGTGGTTAGCGCGCTTTGAATGTACCTCTCTGTGCTGGCTTCCTTCCAGAGGTCTGCTTCACACTTTATGCTCACAGATGGTCCAAAGGAAGGCAAGGCGACCTCTGCTACCACTATTGCCCATTTTGATCAACAGGTGATTGTGTAGGCGTACACTGTTTTGGGGCAGGAACTTCCCCTTTCCCCTTATATTTGCAGGCGCTTCCTGGGTGTTCTGTTATCTGGTGTCTGGTTCTCAGGTTTGCAAGACAGCAAACTGGTTATCTGTGCGCTTGTTTACTGGCTTTAAAATTATTGATGTATTGGCATCCTCAGATGCTCATTTTAGCTGCAACGTTTTGTAGGCTGCTGTTTAGGACTCTCAGGCACCCCATCAGGAGGGGGTTTGCATGTTGACCTGGGTTTTCTCCTTTTGTTGGTTTGCCCACTCCTTGTTGTGGCACTGCTTGGGGGCATCCCTATTTGGTCATGAATAATGTAGTGTGGCTGTGTCCGCCAATGAATGTAAGAGAAAACATGATTTTTTTTTTTTGTTAACGTAAAATCCATTTCTCTGAGTTCGTTGACAGACATAGCACCCACCCCTCAATTGGAGTTTTCTCCTTTTGACACTGCTTGTGGCTGACTGGAGGTCTATAGCAGAGAGGGCGTTTTATGTCCATATGGAACTGCCCATAGGAGGTGCCGAGTCCTTCTTTTTTTTTTTTTTTTTCTGCCTAGTGTCCTATTCCTGTTGGTGGGGCTACAAATCCCTATTTGGTCATGAGTAATGAAGAGAAACTGTGCCCATCAATGAATGAGAGGGATTTTGCAGTGAGTAACAAAAAATCCAGTTTTTATGGTACCTTGAACCTACATGAGCACTTAACGCTTGCTGTTCCAGAGAAGGCCCATTATAAGGCACTAACCAAGATTAACCTCTAGTTACTTTTTAGCCATGTATGGCAGCCATAATATTTTTTAACAAGCCCCACAGTGGAAAATGCTAACTTAGTAGCACTGATGCCTTATATTTATTTTATGGAAGCCATCCGTGTTTACTGATAACATGGTACCAACTGTAACCCTTGGACTCAACTGTCTTTTTTTTCCTCTGCGTCTTTAAAGAATTTGGAGAAAAAAAATCTTAGTCTTATTGTTGCTATCTGGGATTATGAAACAGATACAGACTTATCAAGAATTCCTTTTCCAGGAATCCTCCATGGCAGCACCCATTTTTTCCCTGTTTTCAATAGGAAGTTTGTGGTAAAGGCCCTAGGCATTGGGTCATAATAATTTTGTTAGAGAATATAATGGCTGTAGAAATATTTGTGACTTTTGTACATGCTCATATCACATTTTTTTTATCACATTCAAGCATAGGCTAAATGCAGAACACCTATGTTGTCTTAACACTTACAGGAGAGTGACTTTTTATTTTTATGACTTTGATCTTGCATGCAATGCCAAATCAGTGAATTGTGTTAAAGTTGTAAGTATTCAGTTAAACATCTCTAATATTTATGGGTATTTGGGTGTGAAGTTGTTCTTTAAATTTACACCAAGGTGAATTAGAGGGGAGGGCTTTTTGAACTATCTACTTCCTGTCCCAATAGGTAGGATGGGGCACTCTTGTTGTTGGTGCTTTCATGGAGGATTCCAGAGAAAGTGGTAAGTCTAACTAGATTCTTTCCTTTTTTGACCTTATTAAAAAATGTATTTACATTATTGTACACTGATGATATTGCCATTCTTGAGACTAAAATAAAAACTAACTTTGTCAGGAAAAGTTATAGATAGTTGATATGTTTAAATAATTCTCTATAATGGCTACTGAAGGACACAGGAAATCTATTAAAGTGGGGTTATACTGTCAGCTACAGGAGGTTAGGACACTGTCAAACAAAAAAAACATTGAAAACTGACCCCTGTATAACCCCTCCACTAACCAGCATTTTTTAAATTTTCTTTTTGTTTGTTTTTGCTGCTGTCCTAGGAAGATGGGACACATTTTGTCTTCATCTCTGCTTTTTCTCTTGCTATGCTTTTTTAATTTATTGACTTTATTCAGTACCACAGAGCACTTCAGAGAGTATGATGGAGCTTTTCCTTTTTGGGAAAAGAAAAGGAGTTTACTGCTCTATGGTCTTTTCCCACTGTAGATGCTGTCATAATCCACAGACATACTACAAACAGGTTGACAGTGTACTTTCCTTTCCCTGACGGTTGGATTACCTACATAAATTCCAGTTTGATTTAACTGAAATTACTTTTGTTCCCTGTGTTGGCTGTGGTATTAACTTTTGAAACTATGGGGACAATTCACTAAGCGATATTTTATCGCATCCAAGTATGCTGTAAAATAACAGCGTTTTTTGAAAAAAGAACTGCATAATTTCCTTTAAACACTCCTTAATATATCGCATGCATTATATTTGTAAATACTGCATGAAACCATGCGAAGAGTTATCAGAAGCATATTGCATAAACGTCAGTTGCACCAAGCACATTTGGGATTCCAGCAATTTGATAAAAATCATTTTTAATTTGATCCCACTTCTGACAAGATTCCAGAAAGTTAGTATATTGGAGTGCTATTACGCAAAAACCATGCAATATTTTGGTGAGAAGATGGGAAAATTATGCCTTTAGAAATTCTCACTATCTTGCCAGCTACCATCTGATAGGATGCTTTCCCAAAACAATGTAATGCAGCCAACAATTTAGTCATGGCTGGTATGGCATGACTTTGCTGGTTTGATGGTAACCTATGAGTTGGGCATATAGCTCCATAATTAGTGCCTTGGATAACCAAAACTGGAGGGCATCCGTGTAACTATCCAGCAAAGTGCACTCCTTTAAAGCATTTTTCCTTTTAAAAGGACACTCTTTATTTTCTCTTCTGCATTGCTTTAAATTCTTGAAGATTGCATTCAAAGGACTATATTGCCTGTGATATGCAGTCTGCCAGCCTCCAGAGACCACTCCTGAGTGAAATCTAGTGGTCATCTGGTCCAGCTTGCACTTTCCTGGCTATTTTGTTTTTTTTTAATCCAATCCCTGACCCCCTAAACCAGGTCTGACAATTCCTATACTTATTGGAAGCCTGGACCACTACTTAATTACTACATTTATTTATTTCCTTCTGTGAATTGACTTTAATGCATTTTTATGAGGTATTTGCCAAACGTTTTGCGGTTTGCAGTAAATACCGCATACCAGCAATAGTGAACTGACATTTTCATTATCGCTTACGACGATGACCTGACATAACACATGCGATAACCTTTTAATGAATTGTCCCCTGTATCTCTTTGGATTAAGTCCCTTTTTAAAGAGGACCCTCACATTGCCAGAGTAGACCCTCATCCTTTGAACATTTGGCACAAATGTCCAAAACCTCTAAGTTTCTTTGTTTATCGCATGGTTCTGATGTCCATTCACATGAGTAGGGAACTGGGACGCCGATGGTACATACTCCGTTGTCCATCGAGTGATGTCACTTCTATGGACCTTCTCTTGACACTGTCATCAACAACACCACAGATGGTTGGTGCACACTCCTGCCTCAATGCAAGAGTTAAGTGGAAGGGCAAACTAACCCCCTGCTCCATCAACTACTCATCTAATCCATCAGTGCAAGCTCGTAGGAAGTCAGGGCAATGTATCTCCTTCAGCGCCTAGCCACTTAAGTCATCCATGTTAGCAGTCAGGCTGAATCGCTCAAACTGACTATTTAGTCAACTGTCCCTCGTCAGTCTTTTGATGAATCTATTCTTAGGGGTGTATTTATCCAGTCTTGTTACCCACACTCTTGCTACCCTCCTTGACAGGAGTTTTTCTTTAAGAATGGTTTCTCTTTTGAAGTTACACCACACTTTTTTTTTTTAAAGGAAATCTTGATATTCTTGGGTACTTTTCAGCCCTTTATGGTTTTTACTAACCATCACTCTCTTCCAAGAAATCTTCCATTTCACAAGGTTCACAGGACTTTGCTCTGGCTTGCTAGTAAGGATCTTATCCATTTATCATCACCCAGATGTATCTATTTTTAAGTTGTAGAACTGACATTCACCCTAGTATCATCTTCTGGCATTGCAATGTAAAACACTTAGAAGCCCCTTGCCTAAGTGGGTCTGTTTGATGGACTCCTGAAATCCAGGTCCTTCTGCTAGACCCTATTCCACTAGGACCTTGAATAGAGAGAGCCTATCATGGTTCTTCAGATGGTACTTTTGTTTCTCCTAAGGCCAAGGGAATTTGGATTACACTCCCCACTAAATGGGTCTCCTTCTGGTAACACTTTACCTTTACCTGTCTGAAACATTGTTCCCCTTTCTCCATTTTGGAGTTTGTGGAGTATCTAGAGTTTAACCTTCTCTCATGATCTCTTCCCTTCTCTTGGAGGCTCTCATCCATTATCAGTTCCTGTTTTTTTTATCAAGGAGTTTGGGCTCAAGGAGAGACAGATAATTACTTGGGATGGAGAAGTCCCAGATACTTCTTTGCAGTCTCTGGCTGGGGATGTTGATTGTACCTTCGAACCACCCTGGGAAAGCTTCCTTGTTTAGCGTATCTCTGCAGTTCCATCTAGTTCACCAGAACAGGCACTTTCCACTTCTTCTGAGGATCCTTCTGTGAATTGATGTACTAATTGGAACTCCACTGGACAATTCTTACAGGACATTTTCCTCTGATAACGGTTCTGAATCATTCCCATTGAGTGTGTCCCATTTGGCCACACTGCTTTTCCTGCTGTCAATTCTTTTATCTTTTGAATCTCCACAACATGAAGGTTTTGCTGCTGTTTACTATATATATCGCTGAATGGCTCTATATATTAGAACTAGTTAGGCAGGTGTGTAGTGTTTCTATCCTCAAGTACACTATAGATGTTCAGATGAGCATCAAGTACATTATGAAGTACCTTCTGGCTTGCAAACCTCCCTTTTTTTTTTTTTTTTTTTTTTTTTTTTTTTATTTATATAGTGTTCTGCTCACCTGTTGTACAGTACTTTCCAGTTCAGAATACCTTCAGGACCAGTTTTACTGGGATCACCTCAGACTTGGGAAGTTTTTCTTTTGTCTTTCCATTGGGATGGTATGTAGTAAGGGCATTCACATCTTTGTCATCTTGTTACAAGATTGGCTAATTAACTGCGTTTTTGACTAGCTGGTCTTCCTTTCTTTTTGTTTTTTCTTTGAACAAAGATGTTTTCCAGGCTTCCTTTTTTAAAGATACATTTTTTGTTGTAGGTCATGAGTTTTTTTTTTTTTTTTTTTTTTTTTTTACCTCATCTAACTAGAATTTTGAATCAGTTCCTCCAAACACCACTCAAATGTGATAGCCTTCTAAATTTTACTGAGTTTATCAGTAGATGTTGTCAACCTCTCAGACTGCTTTTGGGCAGCCTGATTTGTAATAGAATTGCTATGTCCCCCAATGGATGATAAATTAGATATTTGTGCTTACTGTACATTTTTTTTTTCTTTAAGTCCACTGAGGGACACAGGGTTACAAGGGTGATGGCTTTCAATGATGTTTTTGTGTCCCATCCTCTTGCATGCAGCAGTATAACCCAACTGAATTCCTGTGTCCTTCAGTGGTATCTATAGTATGATAAATACAAAAATCATTTCTTAATCGTACAGTGCAGGTCACTGGGTTATTGGTTATAGACTCATACCTTCAGGTGACTGGATGTTGGCAATTGGAGGAGTAAACCTTAGGAGGCATACCCGGACCCCATGCTGTGGAAATAGCCTGTAATGTTTCTCTAAACACTGGATTCTGCATGAGCACTCACCTTGGCACTTAATGTAGTTTTCCGCAAGGTACTATACAGTTCCATGTCCATCCATATGGGACTCAGTCTCTAAAGACCTTTTTCAAGGGTTTGTCCACCAAGATGGGCAAAGTCTGGACTTTATATACAGTCCAATGTAACAGATAGGTAAGACCGGGTCACCCTGTATCTTTAATCGTTACTGTAAAAGTCCAGGGCTATACTTGAATTGTAATCACTACAGTGTAAACTTTTCAAATTTTGTACTAAAACTCAACCACTCAGAGCCTAGGCTTAGATGGATGAGCGGTTATATTTCCCTTGCCCTGAAGCAGAAGCTAACTCTAATAGCAGTCTCTGCATCCAATTCTTGCTTTATTTTGGGCACATCCACCTGGGAAAAAAAGCTGAATTTTCTGCATCTTTGTAACAATTCCTCAGAAAATAATGGCTTTAATACAGCCATCTTTGTCCAGGGTTAAAAAATGCCACACCTTTTTTCCTCTACTCCCATTTCTCTACCTGAAGTCGGATCTTGATATTCCTGCCCCAGATGAGAGGATATTGAAGAGGTATAGTAGGAAGCTGCTGAAATTTTTTCTTCCCCCGGATTGCTGCATTATTGAAGATGGAGCTTCACGCAACATGCTTGCTAATGTGCCAAAGCTCACTGCTGCTATCCGCAGTAGCCTTGGCAGTGTGCAGCTTGATTCTCCTCCGTCTATTGAAGACGTTCGTTCTTTCTAAGATTCTGCAGACAGAAACATTTGAGTTACTCTGAAAAGGCTCTCTTTACTTTGGCAGCTAGCCGTGCAGCCAGCTCTCACTGCAATTTCATTATGTTAGCCACAGGATTCTGTGCATGTGACTGGAGATTGCAGTCTAAAAGTCTGGA